AATGTTGCAGCTGCAGCATTTTAAACCAGCTGAAGATTTTAGTACTAGTATGTGGCAGAACAAATAATCAGTGTCTCTGCATCTGCCATGGACAGAAAAGACACATTTTTGTTGTGTTACGATCTTGGTGATATCTTTAATGTGCTGATCAAAAGAGAGGGGAGAATCAAATTCTTGGCTGTCACAGTTTGAGAAATCCCAAAGTTGTCAATAGTTAGTGTTAACCAATCAAACCGCGTCTTTATTGAGCCAGTGACTAACATAGTAGTTTTATTAGAATTAAGGAATAGAAAGTTATTTGACATCCAGCTTTTTGTAGCAGCCAAGCAAGACTCTAATGATTTGAGAACAGCTCTGCAGGCACACATGGCTGAGTATCATCAGCGTGGCAGAGGAAATGAACTTCATGACTGCAAGGGAAATATAAAGAGGGAGGAGCAGAGGGCTGAGAGCAGAGCCCTGGAATACTTTACTGCAGAAAAAGTCTTGCAAAAAAAAGGCATAAATCTTCAAGGTTAAGTAGCTAAAAAATGGCTGCCTTTCAGCATGTTTGACTGCAGCGATTAAAAAAGTGTATGACAATGATTAAGCGACAAACGTATACTGCTCATTCAGTAGGCAGAGCATAATATTAAAATCCCCAGTAAGTTCCAGGAGGGCTTTATTTACAGGGGAGTATTGACGTCACCCTGAAACTCTCTTCACATTGAGTAACAAACTGTCAGTCATTTGCCCTTGGCAAAGAATTCACTAGTAATTTCGATGGAGGGCCTCAAAACAGATGGAAGCAGTGTCAAGTTTTGAGGTAAATTTTTAAATAGACTTGTAGGTTAAGGCAACCACCACCACTTTGTTTAGTTGTTTGAGCAACTGGGGTGTAGGTACACTCAGATGGGGAAGCTTCGTTTAATAGCATGAAAACATTTGGTTTAAGCTACGTTTCAATAAGCCAGTCATATCCAGGTTAAGCTGAAGTATCAGATTATGTTTCAGTAAGGCTTTAGTGTCTTCAGCAGCTTTAGACAATGATCAGATATTTACAGAACTGACTTGCGGACCTTGTCGAAGCTGGTGCTTTCACTAATAAGCCAGTCTGACAGCTTGGATTTTCAGTAGAAACTGTGTGTCCTGCACATGTTGGTGTGCAGATGCAGTCATGATGACCTTGGGTACTGTGTGTTTGAGGATTTTATCAGGTGTTCTGTGGCATGCTTCACCACCACCAGTGGTGGGGATGATAATTAGCTCTTTGTGATTCACATATTTAGCAGCTAGATAGCTGGTGAACATGGTGAAGTGTTTAGCTCCTAAAGAGCCAGATATTTCCCTGAGCATTCAATGGAGATAAAAAACAGCTAAAAGGAGTGTAAACATTGGACATGTATTACATTACACAAACACAGCTCTAAATGAATGAAAATGATGCTCCACATTTGCTGAATATGTAAATAAGCATCTATTTGCTAACCGTTTCCTTACAGTTTGTTTTTAAGTTATCCCGAGTGACAACAAAATGCAGGTTTAAATGATATTTATGAAATACTTTAGCATCTGTAGTCCTTTTTTTTCAAAGCCAATCTTGTGACTTGTCATAACGGGGAAAGAACAGGTGTTACATAGAACATTAACAAAGGCTCCATTCTGTTTTCCAATCAGCCACAGCCATGTTAGTTGGCATGCAGTGCCAGAACCTAAGGCTGAAGGAGCTAAATGGAAATTAGCCTTCATTCATTTTATTATTTACATGTGTGTGTTTCTGTATTATGATGTATTATGTAAAGAACGCATGTTCTTGATTTATAAAAAAAAAAAGATGATTTAAACAATTTTTCGACAATATTAATGACTTCAAAGCACCATGCTGCATTTCTGTTAGAATAATTTTGGTCAGTACTCTGTCTTCTCACAACAGTCTAGGTACTGATGTCATGGTTTTCAGTTTTTACCTTGGATTTGATGTAAACTGCATTGAGTATTTTGTGCTTGTTTGCTCTGATTTGCTCCTTTGTAGACTCCACAAACCCAGGAGATGTGGATCTCCATAGCAGCGACTGGGACGTTAAAACCATAGCAAGTGCATTGAAGTTTTATCTAAGGTGCGTTTGGTGTGTTAATAGACACGGTGGAGCAGGAGATGCATCATTTGTGTTAATACTCAGTATAGTTCTACTGTAGTTGTTTCCTAAAATTGTAATCACCAAACCCAAATGTCTGTTCTTTACTCTGTCTTTAAGTTACATTTAATTGAATCATAGTATAATACATTTTAATTGGTCATAGGTCTGACTCGCTTGAAAGTTTGAGGGACAATTTATCATTGTACAGAGCTTTAATATTCTAAGGACTAGGTATTTTCCCAACAATCTGCATGATTGCTTATCATGTGGTGTAGATCTGGACCCAGACACACATTAGAAACAGTTTGCTGTTATTAAAATAACAACTTCAGCCCTGACAGAGGTTGTACTCTCTGAGTGCTTTCTAGTGTAATTGAATGCTTTTTGTTCTTGTGTTTGATGTGGTGTGTTATACTGCACTGCAGTCTTGCACTTGTGTTTATCTGTGTCTTTATTTGCAGGAGTCTGGCTGAACCTCTGATGACCTACAGCTTACACAGAGACCTAATATGTGCTGCAAGTAAGACATGTTTTGGATACTATCCTGCAATAAGACTACCGTACTTTCCGGACTATAAGCCGCTACTTTTGTTGCTTCATGCATACACCCTCATCATGGACAACACACCATGAAATGCATATGATGCTGCTTCAAGTTACAGGCGATCAATCTGGCTGTCGAAATATCTTGTGTTACAACGTGGACACCTGCGGCTATGTACAACATGTTTTTTTGTCTTACAATTAGTGGGTGTGGCTTATAGTCCGGAAATTACGGTACAGGTGGTTGTTATTACTATATGTCTTCCTTCCCTTTAAATTGAAATACAAAACCTTTATACACATTGTAAAATCCAGCTGGTGATGTTCTCAAAAGGTAAAAGCATGCCATTACATCCCTTATAAAACTGGGGTTGCAGGCATTAGAAAGGTTAAAACCTGATATGCACTTCTGCTTTGACCTCATCCTCACTTGTAAGGATCTATGCTGTTTCTGTATTGCTTTGTGTAAATGTCAGGTCATCTTTTCAGATAGTTTGGACAGTAATTATGCCATGCATCTTGGTTGTCTTGACACCTAATGTAACCTCTATTAGCAGTGCCGGGAAAAAAAGTGGACACAAGGTATGAAAGAGGCATTTGTACATCAGTACTGTGTAGGCTGCAGGTTCAGTCCACTCCGTCTGGACAGCAAAGGAAATCTGAGTCCTCTGTTTTTGTCTGTCCCACTATATCATTGTGAAACGAGGGGATGCTGAGTTTAATAGCACCAGCCTCATTCTGTCACAATGTTAGAGGTGATCCTTAAGACAACCAGTGACTTTAGTTTCCTGGAAATGTCATTCATTACACTGCCTTCATTCGTTTTAGAGTGAAAGGCTACGTCTTACTCCAGATTGATTTTAATCATTTAATGATCATATATTGTGCTACATTCAAATCAGTATTTTTCAGTGCACCTGAATTTTGATTGCTATGTAAAAACAAACAGATGAAAAAGTCACTCCCTTACTGACATAATGTATCTGGAAAGTTATCTTGGGGATTTTTATTAGTTTTTTATTTTTATTAATTTATATAAAATGTGTATGACTTGTTTGAGTTTTAGGTCTACAGACACTGCGCTGCTTCACACTGTATGAACTTTATATATGCTATTATTTGAGATTCTACCATTTGAAAACTTTGTGTTGTCTTTGTATTACAGAGTCAGATAATCTAGATTTTCGACTGACTGAAATTCATTCACTTACCTACAAACTACCAGAGAAAAATCGGGAGATGTTGGAGATGCTTATTAAACACTTGGTCAAGTAAGTGCGAGCGTACTTTGTTGTGATTTACTTTTACTTACTGCTCCCAGAGGAACTCATGCTCTCAGATAATGTGTCACTGCCTGTTCTAGTTGCTTAGTTACATTTTATTCAAGCCAGCTTGATATTTATTCACAGTGTGTGCAGTCACTGTGCTAAAAACCTAATGACGCCTTCAAACATGGCTGTTATCTTTGGACCCACGCTGATGAGGGCACAGGAGGAGACTGTGGCGGCCATGTTGGATATCAAGTTCCAACATATTGTTGTTGAGATTCTGATTGAAGACTACAAAAAGGTATGTTGTCAGAAGATGACAGAGCATTTTGTCTCACTTGAAGGAGTAGTCCTGTCCCAGCATCTGTGAAGATCACTACTATTGTTTTGTTTGTTTAATCCATATAAAAATCACTACTATTTTAAGTTGATTGGGGCCAGGAGGATTAGTTTGACAACTAGTGGAGACTCAGGGAAGTTACTAGCCCAGGACCCAGGGACTTCAGTCTTTGTATAGACTAAACAAACAGCTTGTACCATGTTAACTGTTGACCCCCACCCACCCACCTTTGGACAGAGCCAGGCCAGCTGTTCCTTTGTTAGTTTATTCAGTACTAAGTTAGCTTTCTGCTGGTGTTGGCTTCATATTTGGTGCACTGACACAGAAGTGTTGTACATCTTCAGATGTAACTCACAAACTCACAGCAGGGAGACCATTTCCCAAAAAGTCAAGCTTTTAATTTAACAGCCTAATTCTTAAGATGATTTTGTGCAGCAGAGACACTGTCATTAGTCACTAAGCCATTAATCTGGTATTTGTACTGTTCTTAGTCCATTTGTTAAGATCATTCTGTGGAAAAAAAGCAGTAATATCAGTCTTCATACGCTTTCTCTTGGATATCACTTTATTTATTTGACACACTTATCTATATATGTATGTATTTAGCTCAAATTCTAGTTGCTAAATAAAGTGTTACCATCATTTTTTGTATGTTTATAGATCTTCTGTCATAAGCCAGAGGACAGCACCGCCCCACCTGTTCCTCCTCCTCGGATCACCCCAAGAAAGCGCCAGCCCATCACAATCTCCAAGAGGCCGCCTCGAGTTTATCAAGCTCTTAGTCACGACCCCTTCCAGCTCAGAGAGAGTAATTGTTAGCCTCTTTTAGCCTGCTTGTCGTAATCATCCTCGTCATTATCCCATTCTCTCGGGGAGTTGATGATGTTTTAATTCTTACCACAGCACATCTACAGTCATTCCTCAGACTTTTTCAAAATAAAAAATGTGGTTCAGTGTAGTGTGTGTCCATAAAATGCTACCGTTATTACATATTCCTAAACATGGAATTATCATTTTTTGTCAAAATGTGTGAATTTTCCTTTATTGTTGATAGGAAAATATTTTGATGCATTTTTTTTTTATTTCAAGGTTTTTTAAATTTATTTTTCGCATAGGACTTTTTTGTCTCAGGGTAAGTCTTGTTGAACCCCCTGTTATATGAGCGTGACTCCATCGTCTCATACACAGTGGCAGAGAAATGTGCAGTATCTACAGCTTGTCCTCCCTGTGTGGTGTGGTGTGATATGTAATTGTTCTTAACTTACCACTTAGTGTAGCCTAATAACTGGCTCTCTATGAATAATCCAAAGCTTGAACTGTGTCTGGAATTCATTGTTGCCATTTAGTTTTTGCCATTCATTTACATTTTCATTTGTGACCTTCTCCATATTTTTCCTGCACTTTGCCTGCTTTTAACAAAAAAAAAATCTTACATATGAAATATTAAGTTACTGTACGAAGATAGGAAAAATACAGTACGTCAGTGTTTAGCGCTAAATGTTGACACCACTCTGAGCAGTCACAACTTTGCATTCATCATTATGTTGTCTTGGTGCAACAGATGGCCAGAATGACAGCTCTGTCTTGGATGAGGAAGGCTCTCTGGGCCCTGTTCCCCTGCAGCGGACAAAAGTTCTAAACTGTGCTTCGTTCACTCCAAGAGAACCTCCACTAAGACAAGTGTTGATGCCTAAACCATCCAACCAACAGAACAGACATTCAGACTCCGATGTTGGGAAAACAGACGATACAAAGCCAAGGCCAGATTCTTCTTCAGCGGCAAATGGGGAGTCTGGAGTCTATGTGACCAGAGTGCACTCCTTCCAGGGCAAACGACCACCTACAAAGGGTACTAACAGAGAAGGTATGGCGAACCCTCTGTGTGTGTTTGAAAATGTCTTAAGTCATACTTAGGTTTTTCTATGTAAAGACAAAAAAATCTTAAAGCTTTAGTGTCATGAAATGCAAAGTTATGATGTATTGGTCAAATGTAACTTCTGATCTTTTTCCCTTTATCAATGTATGTGTCTACATCTTGTCATCCAAAATCATCCCTCTTCTCCACTGACTTGTAATAAGATCTTTGGTGGAGGTCATGTTTTTACTGTTTGTTCACAACATGTAAAGTGATCAATGGGTTTTGATGTTTTGGAGAGGTAGAGTATGGCCCATAGAACAATCCAAGAGATTTTGGTGCTGGACCGTCATCTTGACCCAGGAATTTTTTTAATGGGAGTTTGGGGAAACTGAGCTGCCTTGGCGGAGATTTGCACTCTCTGAGTGCTGTCTAGTTGAATAATGTGGTTCGTTGTTAAACTAGTGGGGTTGAATTAAATGTCCAGAAAGTATTCAAAATATCTTTGTATGGTTTTACAGTTATTATATGTTAATGTGAATGTTTCAAACTGGAGCATTTCAGCATCTGTCAGCTCGTTGTTTTGGTTTTTTTGGCTCCCTCTTTACTGCTATGGTTCACTCTCACTGCTCTCATCAGTTTCCAGTGCAATGGGCATCTGTTTTGAGCAAACAAGCTCATATCTTAAAGCTGCCCAGTACCAAATGTTACTGAGGGAAAGCTGATGAACAAAGCAGTGAGGTTAAAGTTTAGGTTTATCATCTAACAGCTATCCTCATCATAACTTCAAATCTACCTAATTACACATCCACATGTTCCTCATTCTTACACAATCCCCCGCACTACTACATTTTGCTTTTGATTTTCAGGAGATCCTGAGGATCTGACCAGAACAAGGTCCACAGAGAAACATGCCATTTGTAGACCCCCAGTCAGACCTCCTGAGCCCCCCTCCAGACAACCTGCTCCACAAAAGCCCAAAAGTGCAGCCAGCAGCGAGGGCACACTCACATCCTCCTAGTAAGTGTTCTTCAGTGATAAATACTTTTAGGTGTTCAAATGAAGACAGGGTCAAGAGAGCTGATACACATTCATCTACTGGATCTGAATAAAATAACCTTGAACTGACTCCGAATCAGCAGTGACACAAGAAAACTCAAATTTATTCCAGAGGCCTGAATGACTGATTGACTTACCCTTGGGATTAGGTGGTCTCTGATACATTCATTTTAATCTACAATACCAACATCTCCATTTTCTTGTTTTTCTCCAGTGTTGCCTCTAAAACACAGTTTTTTGAGAATGCCTCCAGGAAGACTCGCAGGTACGTATGTCTTTGTCTTTGTTTTTGTTCTGGTTTGTCTTTTTTCTTTAGGGAAGCTGTGTGAATACTACTGTACAGCTTCTGGAAGTTATTAAAACCACAGCAGAAGATTGTTAGAATGGCCATCATATGTAATAGCAGTAAAAATTAACTGAATAGATGTATTATAAAATGTTAACTACTTTAAGACCCCCTCCACTCAAGAATGTGTTCATTTTATATGCGCACATGAAATGAGTATGTGGGAACTATGTGAAATACACACTGGCTTACACACTGCTGAGTTGTTGTATGCGGGCATGGTGACTGTTCTTACATTAGGTCTCTCCCATTTTGGTTCATGCAAGGCTTATCATGCTGATGATGGCCTAATGCCTGTGTGATGTGGAAAACAAACACATCTGCTCTTTTAGTATTTGTTTGCATGATCTAGGGTCGTGTCTCTGCACAGGTATACAGATTAAATGAGGAATGTCTGAGCGGAAGGAGTCTGAGGGAGTTTTATCAGAGAGAGTTTATCTCTTTTCCTGCATCAGTGTTACACAGGGTTTACAGTTCACATTAACGTGTTCAAAGGGAACCCTTTGCTGGTGTATAAAGCTTTTGTTTAGCCTTCTGACAGAAGAAGCAGATTGTGACTTTTAGTGGCTGTTTGAAAAGACCCAGACATCAGAAGGGTGGACTTTCTGAACAGACTGACTGTGCAACACAAGCTTTAAAACACCATACAATGGTAAATATTGTCTGTATACAGCATTATTTACATCACTTTAGATTTAACAATTAACTGTTAGCCCTCTGAAGATCATTACAGGCGGTTGTGAAGTGCTATAGACCAGCCAAAAGGTAATTCAGATTAGTGCCACATATTTCAGGTTACTACAATTTAACCAGGTATTTATTGCACAATTCCTAAAAAAGTGATATTGCACAGCCTGACACAGATTGGTTTTATTAGGCTTATCTGATACAGTGTCATGCAATGACCCTGCAAGATCAGTGATGTCACACAGTGGGACCTCAAAGCGGAACACCTGGGGTCTGGCGCTGTCAGATGGTGCTGTCAACCATAAATGGATTGTTTTCTCTGTTTTAATTTAGTCCATCGCCCTCTCTACCACCAGCAGTGACAAATGTCAAAAAAGAGGTGAGATTTACAATTTTGCAATTTATTCAGTATTCTTTATGTAGTTAGGTCTGTCTCAGTATACTGGTGTAATACTTAAAAGAAAATGTGTTTCATATGTGAGACTGATTGCCTTTGTTTTGTTTCCTTAGAACTGAACTTGGGGAGCTTTAGACCACATCATGTGAGCTCCACATATGCTGCTGGGTGCACACCAAGCTGATGGGTGGATGCGCCAGTGAAATCAGGCGCTTTTAATCTGATCGGATAGGCTGAGGAAATTACCTAATAGAACTGAATGAGTTTATTTGGGTATGTTTGATCATTAATGGTAAGCGTTGGTTGTAAGGCTACACAGAAGCTTTCAAAGTAACTGGTACAGTGTTGGATCATTATTCCAAAGTTTGCATGAAGGGAAAGTTTCACACTAATTTACAATGTTATTTACAATGTTTGAATGACTCTTGGCCAATTTCTAGGAAACATCTGTTGTAAGTGGCTCTGACTTGTTCACATTCCTAATACTAGTTCTGAGCAGCGGAAAGATATGTTCCACACAACACTAATTGATTAAAACAGACTTAATCACTTTGATTATTAATTTGAAAATGTGACATTTCATTCTAAATATTAAGGAGATAATAATGAGAACATTTTAAATTCTAACAAGGAACAGGGGAAAATAAATTGAAATTAAGCTACATCTCAAAATGGATTAATTATAACAATTAAAGCTATTTTAGTTGGTCCATTAAAAGTATATAATTTTAATATTTATATCTGGTGAGACCTAACTCGTAACTAAAAAGTCACTTTTAAAGAGCCATTAAAAAGGTACTAGCTCTAACATGTCAGTCATACAGTCTGTAGTTTGAATTTACATGCACTATATTGCTGGTGTTACTGCTAATGGATTCAGAAGCGTCCTCACTTCTGACCTGGTGTGATTCACTTCTTACCTCCTGTAGGTGCTATAGGTTGGGTCCTCAAATTTGACCTCAAATAAATTGTTGGTATTAAAAAAAAGGTAAAAATGGATTGTTACAATGTTTTTGAAAATAGCACTCATGGGTTGTTTTGCTTTTTTAAATTGTTAAGTTTGAAAGTTCTGGTTGTTGTTTTTATTTTCAAAAAGTGAAATAAACACAGAGATCTTAACATGCCTCATGAATATTTTCAAAAATGAGCTATGTATTCTTGATATTTTACTCCCGTCTCTCCTCGGTCTGTCTGAATGGTGGTTGAAGTCACTTCTATGACTCGTGCTCCCCATTTGCAACTAGACAGCATTTAGAGAGCGCAAACCTCCGCAATGCAGATCAGTTTCCCCATGATGCCGTTCCACCTAAAATCAATATTCAGATGGTAGTCTGACTGATAAGATGATTCATTGACCATGAAAACCTGCCCCTAGCATTTGGAATCGCATTGACATTAGTATTAGTCTGAAAGTTATTCAAGAAGAATGGTATTTCAGTAATGGCAGTTGTTTTCTTCAGATCTAGAATTTAAGAATTCAGAACTTTTGAAGATACAGTATGTCAAGTCTGTTGACAACCTGCTGAGTCAGCAGAGTTTCAGCTAGAATTTGATCTTTATCAAATCATTTGTTGTCTCACAGTAGTGTTTTTTTTTTCTGTTTTTTTTTTTTAAACAAACATTCTGGATCATTACATCTTTGATTTGATTTATTCTTTCAAACATGTAACGACAGTCAATATGTCAACACACATAATTTCACACATATCCACAAATGCATTATCAATTTCCTTATACCTAGTACATGCTTGAACGGAGTAGGAAGAAGTCAGACTTATCCAGTCCTACCCCATGACATCATCTTACCATCATTGGTTTGCAAGCAGCATCTCTACATAGATAATTTTGTTCTACACCACGTTAGTGATATACTAAAAAATATTACATACTGTTAACATTCTTACATAATTACATACTTTGATAATTATCTTCTACATCACACAAGTAGAATTATTACAAAGTGTTAACATTCATACCCCACACCCTCAATGTTACATCTAATTAATGATTAAGCCTGTTCTTGCATATATCTTGATTGACACATACCTTTATGTTTAAACTCATCAATTCTATTACTATTTTTTATGTCTACGCTTAACTTATTCCATAGTTTTACCCCACTTATGAAAATACAAAATCTTTTTTTGGTTGTACGTATAGCATGAATTTTTAAATTTAACTGACCCCTTAAATTGTATCCCCCTTCCCTTTCATTAAATAGTTTTTGAATTCCACCAGGTAATAAATTGTTCCTGGCTTTATACATA